GGGGGGGGGGGTGGACCATTTGTGACAGCAGCGCCTTTTGCACCGTAACACCTGTTCCGGTTCAGCCACTACACGGTGAGCTCACCCAGTAGACCACGTTGTAGCCTTCAAAAGCGACTCCACACACACATTTAGCGTCAATTCCTGCAACCGTGCGTCCTCCTTTCCCCCCGTTAACGATGCATTAAACACCGGAACAACGAGGGCACGGGAGGCGGAAACGCTGAATAATCATTTAAATCTGCGATCACAACTCGAAGCGCCGACCCTGCAGCACATGACGCGAACACACCGGCTGTTCGGGGTTCACATTGAAATGTTAAAGCCTACCAGATCGATGAAGGTCAGAAACTTCCAGCTGCCTCCGTAGGTCTGGTGTGCCGGCATGTCTAAAGCTTTGTAGTGGCAGAGGATGGAGAAATAAGACAGCAGGATGGCGACCCGGAGGACCTGCGAGGGGATCAGCGCCATGATGCTCTCTCTGTCTCTCTGTCTTTGTTTACTTGTGTTGCCTTTATTTCTCTGCACCTGCCTCTCTACCTGTGTCTCTCTGTTCGTCTGCAATCCAGCTTTTACCTGCCTTAACCTCCCTCCCTGTGTCTGCGCCTCTCCTGCTCCCCCACTGTCCGTCTACTGCTTCCGTGTTATGATGATGATGATGATGATGCGGAGGCGGAGGGGGGGGAGCTGTAGTATGCATACAGCCCTGGGATAGTCTACACAGGTGTTTATTTAGTGGGAAACAGGGTTTATTTTAATGTTTTTATGTATGTAATTATGCCAAATGTTACATTTACTGAGTTTGATTATTTTATTATTTTACAGTTAGTTTCCAGCCTCACAAAAGTTCCATAATTATACATTTTAAAGTCATTATATTGCTTTTACTCCGTTTAATTTTTTTTGATATTTTAAATTCAGATGTTATTTCATGCTCGTAATAATAACGTTGCCAGCATTGGAACAGACTGTGGCCACAATAGCGGAGTCTTTAATGATAAATATTCATGATATTATTAAATAATCATGGGATTAAATAGAGTGAAATTACAGAAATACATTTCACAAATAAAGTTATGATCAAAACTCCTTAAAAACTCTTATTTTGTAAAGGTTTCATTGGAGGTCAGTTTGATGTAATTATGATTTATAGTGCTTTCATTTGATAATGTCATTTTTCATGATAATGGACTTATTGCCCGCTCAGACAATTACATGTATGCATACAAACATACATACATACAGAGCAAATTAACACTACAGTGCAGTAAATGTGCACATGATTATAACAGTAATAATTAAACATGGTGTGTTTGTACTAAGGCAGGCAGAACCTAATGTAATTTAAGTGCTGTTTTAGCTGTAAATTGCATTGACTTTTGTCCAACAGTAAATGATCACCCCTGTAATTTTATTATTCTTAGTTCATAGTTTATGCCGGCATGATGGTGGACTGCGTTCAAATCTTTGTTGTGTATTTTTACAGATATGACTGAATAAAGAAAAGCTCAATTCATAACATTTACACTACTGTCTAAATGGTTCTAAATAAAAATGTGAATACATTATTTCTGTATTTTGGCCATGCAGCCATTGAAATAAAAATCAACAGATTTAAAGTGAAGGAGAGAAAGAGCGGATGCTGATAGACATTATAAAAAGATCTCCAGAAGGCGAGGAAAAGAGGTGATGCTGTTGCCACGGTGACGCTCAACTGCTACTCAGGAAAGAGTGTAGTGCTGTTTCTGCGCTTGCAGGTTTATGGATGAATGGACACATGCTAAGGGCTGCATTACACAAGTCTGTTTTGAATGTTAACGTTGTACTCAACCATCACGTAATTGTGTTTCAAGCTAAGTCAGGATTCAAACCTGTGACCGTGGCTACAGTCACCTACAAGTACAAAATACAATGGAGAGTGCATACTTGCATACATTGAAGTCTCCCCTTTTGTTCAAGTGTTTTTTGAAGTGGCTATATGTAATTGATTTTTTGACAGAGAAAAACAAAATGATTCTTATTTTCAGCTGATTATACACTAATGAAAACATACCTATAAATATTATACTGGACCTTTAAAGGAGACATGTTCTGCTGCAGCCAGTGCTCTTACAGCCTGAAACATTACTCTTTATTTGCTCGACCGCTTGTATAAATTATCATCTATTGTGATCTTCATTAGATTTTTTGCTTTAGATAATATCGGTTTTAGTCTCTGATGCTACGTTCCTATGCTGGTGATAAAGTCGTATATCTGAACTAAGTCAGCTGCTAGATATTAAATGCTGTCGCATAAGAAGAAGAGGAGGTTTTTGGTCGGAGTGACTTCTGGTAAGTGGTGTCAGTTAATAGATATTTGATACAGTGTCTAGTTAAAAAAAATAGGCTATATATATATATATAGGCTACATACATGTTACTGTTGTTTTTTCTTGCTGCTGTCACCAAGTGCTTGCTCATGGTGGGAACTGTTGGGTATCTGTAAATAATTTTATAAGGAGTCTGATCTAGATCTAGAAAAGTGTCTTGAGATAACTTTTGTTATGATTTGGTGCTATACAAATAAAACTGAATTGAATTGAATTGTTTTTTTGACGAGATTTCAACCCTGACAGTCACGGTGTAGTTAGAAACTATTAACCAGTTTTAGTTTACAAGCATGTTAAGCTGTAGGTCAACATCCTAACTGGCTTACAGTCGAATATCAGGCTCAACCCGTACGCTCTCACACTGAGCATCATGAAAAACATTATATTTTTAGAGGAACATGGGGATCTCCTTGCTTTATATAGAGGACTTCTACTTAAGTCTGCCTTATAAACACAAAGTATGCTGAGAAACACAGCAACAGTGTCTTATGGTCTGGTCCCAGCGCGAGGTATAACCGCTAAAAATTAAAAGACTGTGCTCTCTGTGAATAATATTAGACCCCAGGCTAAAACTGTTCTTCTCCCCTCCTCTTTTAAATTAATGGCGGTTGACCAATAATGAAATGGTGCAGTACCTCCACCATCTGGTGAGGACGATGGTCAGACTGGTTTGACAGAGATGGTCAAACACCCCATTTGGCCTCAGCGGGGTAAATGTCCATTATGCTCTCATTCTTGCGTTTTTTCTTGTTCAGACTTATCATCAACCAAAGAAGTCCTCATAGTTTGTTTGTCAGAGCCTTCCTCTCTGGTCTGATCTGGTTACGGTTTGGTTAAATTTAGGCAACCTAAACTACTTACTAAGCCTGCTATGTTTGGGGAAAGATTATCTCCATTATGATACTACAGATGTCACTGACTGGTCTATTCAGACTAATGCACAAGTGTAACAGTAATTTAACTGAAGTTCATACCTGCTAACCAAGGCTTACTGTAATTCCTGGGCCGTTAGCATTGAGACCCTTTATTAGATCAGTGTTTTACAGGACCAGTGTGTAGGATTTGGAAATGAGAACTGGCTGTGAAGTGTTTAGCTGAAACCATGGTGGCCCTGTCTACAGCCAGTGCTTGGTTTGTCCCTTCTAGGCTACTGTAGAAGCATGGCGATGCCTCCATTGAAGGCGACGCACTGATAAATACATCTAATTTTAAGGTAACAAAAACATA